CATTTGTTTAATGTGTGGAAGTCAAATCCTGAGGATTAATAGCCAAGACTGTGTGTTGCAGACTGGCATAGACACGTGTTACTTCAACAGGCACATATCCCATCTGGGTGAGAAGCAAAGCTTGGCTTGACTACTTCCCAAGGTGCTGCCTGCTTGCTGGAGTAATTGTATCCAGAACACTAATTTTCTGCGATGTGATAGCTCACTCTGATCTGCTTTTCCCTTTGCAGCTATAGCAGCAGATAGATACATAAATCTCTCTACTACGAGAAAAGGAAAGACTGAAAAGTGAAATTTGTTTCCTTCAAACGAATCCATCTTGCACTGCACAAATGCTGGTGTCAGTTTATTATATAACACACAGCTCTTTATCAAACAATTGCTCCCTTCCCATCAGTTATCCGGAGAGTTATATTTAATGCCTCTGAAGATAAAAAGGTCCATTAAAAATGTTATGAGTTTTTGGTAATTTTCAACCACAGTCTTGCACCTTATAGGAAAGTACTTCAGATCATGGGGCAGGGTAAATTTAACTCAAAGCAAGCCCTGGCAATGGGGGTGGGGGCGCAAGATGACACCCTTCCCTTTTTATTCTGGGCAGCAATTCAAACGTCTGTCCCAAAATACTGGGGAAACAATGGATCAAATTAATCCCTGGTGCAACTCTATTGAAGGTAAGGGAGCTACACCAGAGACAAATTTTATTGTCACTAGTGCCAAATGAATTCCAACTTAAACAATCTTAACTAAAGGACTTTGTAAAGCACCTAGAAAGAGCCACATAGAACAAGTACAAAGTATTCTGCCTGCATTTTGTCCTGGCTGTTGCAGGAGTTGCGGATTCTGGGATTTTCATGCATTTTGTTTCAATAAAATCCATATCCATTCGGACAGTTTCGAATGCGAGTAGGTGTCTGTGAGGGTAATACAGCTGAGGTAATTTCAGTGGGAGCTGCCAGACTGAAACTGGAGCTGCATGGGAGGTTACGGAACAACCAGTAACTCCTGATAAGTAGGACCTGTGGTTTGCTATGGGGAGTCATGGGTTCTTTGATTTCTTTCATTGAAAGCATACACAGCTGGTTAAAGAGACATCTGCACGGTGCTGCTGTTCTCCAGCATTTTCAAGGGCTGTGTCACATTTACAAAGAAGAAATCCCATCCCTGCTCAGGATAATAATGCATAATTGGATGCATTTGTGGGGGTTTTAAAAATTTGTTTGTGTTTTTTGCCTTCCTCTATAACATGCAGTAATGGCTACTGTTGGAGACAAAAAAGCCGACTAGCTGGACCTTAGGTATATTCTGGGGTGGAAATTCTTCTGTTCCTAAGAATTGGACTGCAGCTTTCAAAAGTCTACTCCCTTGTGAAAAATATGCTGGGTTTTGGCCTTTGGTGGGGCTGTCTGCAGTATTATGAATGCTGTAATCAGTGAAGAAGTACATGCTTAACCTCACTGCTTTGTTGCTTGCCTCAAGATATCATACAGACACCACAGTGGCCTGACACCACAACTTGGAATAATATGTACAGGAAATCTGTTTTTTTATATTCTTCCCCCCACTTTTCTCTGCCAGAGGGGAAGGGCTTGTCCATAGTAGAAAAAAGAATAGAACTGATTTGTATATTGTAAAGAGTGCTGGGTTATGGCCACCAAAATACTGAGCTGTCCAGAATATACTTGGATTCCATGCATTTTCCTCCCTCAAAACCTGTCCCTCTGGGAACCCACTTCTTGCTTCTGTTACACGGGTGCAACTCCCACTGATGCAATAGCAGCTGCACTTGTGCGAATGAGAGGAGAATTGGGCCTTTGGTTTCCGGGCTATATCTGGCCCAGAATAGATCCCAAGATCTTGGCTTAACATCCCTTGCTCTAAGATTTGTCATTAGATTAAACTTTTCACAAAACCTGCTTGACATATGGCCGGTTAAACCCACCTGCACTTTCCGTACTGGCTGGTTTGGGTGTTTTGTGCTTTGAATTCCAAGCAGCGAAACTCCCCTTGTGGTGGGGAGGGAGAGAGCTCATTAAACTGCCTTCTCAAAGGCCCTGTTCCTAGTTTTTAACACTTGGCAGTGATAGGCCATGTCTACAGTAGAAACACTTCTTTGGTCTATGAATAGTGGGACACTAGACTAGCAAAACACTACTAGCGTGGACACAGCCTATACCAGTGCTATTATCAGTATAGTTTATTTCACTCCCAAGCTGGGGTGCTGGAATGAGGGGGCCGGGGTCAGCATAACTATGTTGCTGAGGGGTGTGAAAAATCTACACCCGAGTGCTGTCGTTAAGCTGACCAAAGTACCTGTGTAGACAGCGCAACGTCAGCAGAAGAATTCTTCCATTGACCTAACTGCTGCTTCTTGGGGAGATGGACTAATGACACTGGTGGGAGAATCCCGCCCATCGATATAAATCATGTCTACACTGAAGTGCCACGGTGATGCAGCTGCAGCAGCCCAGTTGTGCTGCAATAGGGTACTAAGCATAGAAATGCCCTTAGTCTTTCATTAAAAACTTAGCTGAGAGTGCAGTGGAAGAAACGGTTGGCAGATTTCAGTGGTCTCTTGTCACAGGGACATGCAATGGATTGCTTCAGGCAGCATTTAACATATTACAGCCTCTGCTCCAGAAAGCACATTCGTGGATATGACCCATGAAGTGACACCTGCAATACTCTTCACAGGGCTGTAACTCTAAGAGCAATAGACTATACGGGAAGATGAGAACCATTGTAAACCATGTGGGGTTTGTTTATGCAAATTTGCCTCATTTTCTACTCAAAAAACCTTAGACTCCTAGAAATGCAGGGCTTGCTGAGGCACTGCACTTCTCAGGACAGTGAATAATTGGTTTCCTGATTTCTGAAGCCCCACCTTGGCATCTGATCATTGAACTGCAGGGTGTGTGTGTATGGGGTGTTCTGATCCCTCCTGTGACCTTCTGTAAAAAGACTTGGGATGACAAACTTGTTTACTTTCAAACCTGCATCACTTATGCAATATCAGCTGAGGCTTAACCCAGGTCTTTGGTCTTTCAGAAATAAGAGCCATCTCTTGTCTTCCCGCACCCCCTGCCATTCTGGAGAAAGAGTTCCCATATTTCTATAATTTGTTAGTTCGGCACCGAGATTGTAGTGGACTAGAGCAGAGGTGGGCAAACTTTTGGCCTGAGGGCCACATCTGGGTATGGAAATTGTATGGCGGGCCATGAATGCTCATGAAATTGGGGTTGGGGTTCAGGAGCGGGTGAGACCTCTGGGGTGGGGCCAGAAAAGAGGAGTTCAAGGTGCAGGAGGGGGCTTTGGGAGGGGGCAGAGGGTTGGCGTGTGTGGGGGTGGTGGTGAGGGCTCCAGCTGGGAGTACAGGTTCTGGGGTGGGTCTGGGGATGAGGGGTTTGGGCTGCAGGAGGGTACTCTGGGCTGGGACTGAGGGGTTCGAAGGACCGGAGAGGGATCAGGGCTGGGACAAGGGGTTGGGGCATGGGAGGGGGTCAGGGGTGCAGGCTCTGGGCAGCGCTTACTGGAAGCAGCGGCATGTCCCCCCTCTGGCTCCGACACAGCCAGGCAGCTCTGCACACTGCCCTGTCCGCAGGCACTGCCCCTGCAGCTCCCATTGGCTGGGAACTGCAGCCAATGGAAGCTGCAGGGATGGTGCCTGCAGATGGGGCAGTGCGCAGAGCCCCCTGGCTGCCCCTAAACATAGGAGCTGGAGGGGGGACATGCCACTGCTTCCAGGAGCTGCAGTGTGCAGAGTGGCCCCCGCCCTCACTCCTTGGATGGAGCGCGGGAGCGGAAAAAGCCCCAGACCCTGCTCCCCAGCGGTAGCTCGAGGGCTGGATTAAATCGGCTGGCTGGCTGGCCGGATGTGGCCAGCAGGCCATAGTTTGCCCACCCTTGGACTAGAGGGGCGTCATCTTCTTTGCTTTGTACAGTTGTTGCTTCAAAAAAACCCCAACAACAAACAAACAAAAACAAAAAAGAAAGTAAAAGAACAGGCTTGAAACATTTCACAAACACATCCTGTAACTAAAGATTAGGTAGAATATTTAGCCTGCCTGACTTTTTTTGAATCCAGTTCTGTAAGTGTCTCTGGCCTGGAAAAAGCATGCAAGCATATCATCAGCACTGAAAGACCTAAAAAACTAGGATCCTGGCCACACTAGGATAACCACCATGCTAGCTTGAGTTGTATTTTAAGATAGCCAATTGTCAAAGCAGAAACTCTGCAAGAACAAGGCTGACATTATTCTGTCATATGGCTCTGCTTGATAATCTTTTTAGAATATGTGTGTGGCCAGCCAGTTTAAAATGGTTTTACTGTCCAGTGTGGAAGGGGATATTTCTTTAAATGGGCTAGCAGAATATTTGCTATAGTCCACTGCAGAGACAGGGTTCTAAAATGGTCTCAGAACAATTTTAAAATGATCTTTAATTATCTGTATTTTGTTAGCACCCAGAAACCCCAATTATGGTTCAGAGCCCCATTATACTAGGCACTTGACATGCATGTGATGAAGACAATTTGAAGTGCATGGGAGATATCTGCATTATTTTTATGAATATTATGTGCACCTTTGTGACACATAGCTAGAAAGGGTTAAACATCCTGCAAAATAAATAACCCTCAAAAGACACATGGGGAGATAATGTTTGTGTTTTTGTGTATTTACACATGTATGAGTAGTGTCAACAATGTAATCAATGGTCCCTGTCTATGCCGTATTCTGATAATTCAGAGGTCAAAAGAAGATCCTATCATTTAAATGAATTGTAAACATGGAATATCTTGATATTCATCTCTCTTTGAAATGTACTGTGAATGGTGCAGGAGCAAGCAAATGGCCTTATATTAATTGATATAGCTAAGTCCCGGTGAGGGACCTCCTTCAAAGTCATCCTAGTTACCTTTTGTCCCCCAAGGAAATCCCAACTTGTCAAAGAGGATATGAAATTGTATAAAAGATCCTTGGGTCCTGATTCTGTCATTTCAGATTTGCTTAGACTTCATCAGTGGAAGTTTGAGTCGCAAGACTGAGGTCCCCGTTATGCTGGTTTGCTCTGAATATGAGATTTGGACATTGGACAATGACCTATGAACTGAATCCTAAAGGAACTCATTGCAACTACAAAGCTCACCATCTCTGCTAGGAATCTGCATCTCAATGAATCGAACTCATATCTGTATGTGTATTGATCTTTTAACCATACTCTCTCTCTTTTGTTTTTTAATAAATTTTAATTTAGTTAATAAGAATTGGCTGTAGCGTGTATTTGGGTAAGATCCGAAACATTCACTAACCTGGGAGGTAATGTGTCCGATCCTTTGGGATTGGTAGAACCTTTTCTTTTATATGATGAAATAAGATTTACAGAAATTTTCATCATATTTGACATGGGTACCTGGATGGAGGCCTGAGGCTGTATCAGTTTAAGGGAACTGTGTTGTTTGGACTTCTGAGTAACCGGTAATAAAGGTAATAAAGAGGCTGTTTTATGCTGGCTTGGTAAATCTAAGCATTGGAATATCCATCAGCTTTATGAGGATTGTCTGCCCCATTCTTTGCAGTTCACCCTAATTGAGTGACCACAGCTAGCTCCCCACTAAGACCCGGGTCACAATCTGTTTATTTGATTATTTTGTTTGCTAGCTGGGTTCAAAGGTTTAATTCCTCTTGGAGCTCAGTGCATGTCCCAAGGAGGCAGACAGTGGCTTTAGATAACTCAATCACTGGTACTTACAATACAGGGGGGGGGGTCAAGGCCTTTGAAGTTTTCTCTGTCCAAACAGGTCACCCCTCCCAGCTTGGGACAGGGAGGGGGCCTTCAGGTGTGAAAACTCAGAACAAAGAATACTGGAACTATTAAAAGTACAGCTTTTAAAGATTAGAGGGGGAGAAACAGTGGCTGAAGGATGCAGACTAAAACCCAGTACCTGGGGCTGGTTGGGCCTACCTAAACTGTGAGAGAATTGGTAAGTGTTAGGTAAGACTAATATATGTGTAGGCCTTTTCTTGTGTTAACCCTTTTCTCTCGGATTACTATGTTCCTATGGAAAAATCAGGAATACTTGGTTTTGAAGAAGTTGCTCTGAATCAATGGATTTACCCACTGTTCACAGCTCCTGAAGGGAAGTCTTTTGAAGGTGCAAACCCAGTTGCACCTGCTGAGGAAACATGGCTAGTAAACAGGGGTGCTGTAGCCTGGAGTCCTGGTCTGTGAATGGGAGAATTATAGAGTTCCATCCTGAAAGGAACGAAGGCACAGGGCCTGTCCCTTGAACTGGTGCGCTCAGGAGACAGAAGAGGGGTCAAAGGTGAGGCTAACTCTGTAATTGTGACATAGCCCATTCCCCATAAGGCTTACAATATATTGATTTAATAGGACACACAACAGGTGGAGAAAGAAGGCAGGCATGTGAAACAATCATACTTAGAATCATAGAGCCACTGTTTATATGCAAGTGCGCTGAGCTTAGCTATATACCATCTTATATGTTTGGCCATAACTGCCACTGAAAATTCTGTCAACATGATTATGAGCCACAGAATGGACATACTGATCACATAACAATTTGTGCGCTAAATAAATAATTTACAGCTGCAGGAAATTATTAGACTCTAGCAATAAAAACAATGCCCTAGTGACTAATTAATATGTATATATATTGCTGACTCATGCTTATTTTGCCTTTGGCCCACTAGCATTATCAATCTAGAAGCATATATTTGCCTAAAAGAAGAATCATAACCTGATGGAGATTATATGAAAGATAGGTATTGTAAAGAACAATGTTGAGGTAGGAAGGCGCATATTTGCTCAGATATCCTGTTGATAACTTATGTGCCCTGTGATCCTATGACCACAGATTTCAGAGGAACAGCCGTGTTAGTCTGTATTTGCAAAAAGAAAAGGAGTACTTGTGGCACTTTAGAGACTAACCAATTTATTTGAGCATGAGCTTTCGTGAGCTACAGCTCACTTCATCGGATGCATACATGAACAGGGCAAGACCATGTGTGTAAAAGGTTTCTTCCTCTCCAACAGTGTCTGTTAGTTCTACAATGTTATTGTTTAGTAGACTTCTTTAAATTCCCTGAACAATAGTGGAAAGGGAAGTGGAAAGGAAATGTCAGATAGATACATGCAATCCATCCTTGCCTTTGCAGTATGGACACCATCTCTTTAAAAATGAGAACAGTAAAACTATGTGAGAAACTGGAAGTCAGGTAGATTGACAAAGCAGCTTTTTCTGATTTACTGCATCCGGTCCTCATGTGATCCACAGCTTACAGAAAACCAAAAGTAGACAACTCTGCTGGATCATTATATAAGGAAAAATTTAGAGACCACAGTAAGTATTTTGTACACAATAAGAGGACTGGAAGATGTGAAGTGCAGAGAAAAGCTTGATGCAACTGGTAATAAAGTTAATCCAATCATAATTATATTGCAGGAAAAATGCTAAGTATGAGCTGTAATTCTCAAGAAAAGGCCCTTTTGTATTCCTGTTCAGTCACAGCGAATACTTTAGCATAAGCCACTCTCGCATCCATTGTACAAGCGTTACTTGCCTTCATATACTGACACCCTGTTGACCTGAAAGGAGGAAATGTCTTTGCACCTTTATGTCAAAGGTCACAGAACAGTGGTGGGCAACCTGTGTCCCATGGGCCGCACGCAGCCCTTCAGGGTAATCCATTGGCAGGCAGTGAGACAATTTGTTTACATTGCCTGTCCCCAGGCACAGCTGCCCACAGCTCCCAGTGGCCACGGTTTGCTGTTCCTGGCCAATGGGAGCTGTGGGAAGCGGTGGCCAGCACGTCCCTGTGGCCCGCAATCAATGTAAACAAACTATCTCATGGCCTGCCAGCGGATTACCCTGATGGGCCAAAGGTTGCCCACGACTGTCACAGAGGAATGTAACCAGTGGCATACATAATTAAAGAACTTAAAGAGCCAGACTGTAATGTGCCAACATTGTAAAATAGAACAGAACAGGAAAAGGAAAAGAGAGAGAGAGAGATGGTATTGGCTGTTACAGACGAAAGGGAGGTCTTTGTACCTATGCTAGAACTACACCAAGGAAACCTTCTGATTTAAAAAATAAAAGGCACTGATGTGAACAGCCATTATGGCAGTATCAGTACTTTTACATTTTTATTCCATGTGCTTAATTAAGTCTCTTAAAATGCATCACAGAGAGACAGTTCAGGCTAAAGAGAAAAAGGAAGGTTTCTAATGTAAAGGGATGAAGTCATTGGCTAGAGGGAGAGGATTTCAGACAGGCTGGGCCACTACACAGTAAAAGAACAACCTCCAACTTCACACTCAAGTCATGGAGTGTTTCAGGGAGGAGACAGAGGGGAAGACAAGAGAAAAGCAGTGGATGTGTGACCAGAGAGAGAGGCTAGAAAATTGGGAGGGCAACTTCTAAATAGATTGGGAGACAAAGCCAGTGAAGGCAATTCCATCCCCTGCTCTCTTTGCTTAGCTACCACCTACCCATCCACCCTGCTTCTTCCATAATAATATCATATATACAACTAGGCAAAGAGCATGAGAAATTTGGAGACATTTTCACAAATTCTCTTGCTCTGTTATTCAATCATGCTCACACCCCTTTTTGTTTGCTCAGAGTTAAACAATGTACTTAAGTGCTTTTCTGAGTCAGGGCCTATTTCTTTCACCCCTAGAAGCTGCATGATGAACTTGGTGTGAGAACCTGAAGAGAACAAAGGGGACTGACTGCATCCAGAAGCTGGTTTAAAAACGAATCTGAACAGTCATCCATGTTACTGCAATTTCAGAATGCTCTGAGCTACTTGAAGAAAATCAAGAGGAAATAGTTCTCTGCTAATGAGGCAAAAGGCAAAGATTCCTAGGCTCAGTGCTACTGCATCTGAAGCAACCATTCAAGGCTGACCTGCTTCCCTCCGACCCTGCCTTTCGCTGTGGGGGCGGGGGACATGGGACATGGGACATGCCAATATTAACAGACTCATTTACTACTTCAGCCGTATTCCCCAAAGAAAGTTTAAATGCAATAATAACAAACAATAGCACCAACCTTATTGCTGGGAAATAGAACAAAATGAGACCCACGTCTCTCAGTTTCCTGACCAAAGTCTCCAGTGTCAGAATATTATTCTTTTGCATTGTGTAATGTCTTATCCTTATGGAAAGTCTTATAGAATATAGCAGAACATCATAGATTTTTATAGAATTTAATGCTACAAAATTCTATAGAATAATTACAAAAAAAACTATAGAAAGGTTATCACACCACTATATTCTATGGATTTTAGAGTAATGTCTACAGCATGCTACTGAGTCCTGATCCTGCAGTCTGATCTACCCATGAAGGCCCACACAAATTCAGGAAAAGGACTTTGATATCTTCCTTATTAAGATTAATAGATTCATAGATTCCAAGGTCAGAAGGAACCATTGTGGCCATCTAATCTGACCCCCTGAATAACACAGGCCTTAGAACTTCTCCAAAATAATTCCTCGAGGATATCTTTTAGGAAAACAAAGTCTAATCTTTATTTAAAAATGCTCAATGATGGAAAATCCACCACAACCCTCAGTGCATTATTCCAATGGATAATTACTGTCACTGTAAAAAATTTACACCTTACTTACAGTCTGAATGTGTCTAGTTTCAATTTACAGCCATTGGAGCATGTTACACCTTCCTCTACTAGCTTGAAGAGCCCATTATTAAATATTTGTTTCCCATGTAGATACTTACAGACCTGTAATCAAGTCACCCCGAACCTTCTCCTTGTTAAGCTAAAAAGGTTGAGCTCTTTCAGTCTATCACTATAAGACATGTTTTCTAATCATTCTCATGGCTCTTCTCTGAACCCTCTCCAATCTATCAACATCCTTCTTGAATTGTGGGTCTCGGAACTGGGCACATGATTCCAGCAGTGGTCACACCAGTGCAAAATACAGAGATAAAATAACTTCTCTACTCCTACTCAAGAGTCCCCTGTCTATGATTCCCAGGATTGCATTAGCTATTTTGGTTACAACAGGCACTCACGTTCAGCTGATTAGCCACCACAAATCTTTTTCAGCATCATTGCTTCCCAGGATAGAGTGCCCATCCTGTAAGTACAGCCTACATTCTTTGTTCCTAGATGTACACATCTACACTTAGCCATATTAAAAGGCATATTGTT